AGATCGAGTCGTAGAACTTGGCGATGTCTAGCAACACCGTGGCAGAAGAAACTCTAAATGTTGCTGACGCCTCGTCCATCAGGCTGCGCGTCATCGCAGCGCGCAGCGCACTGCTGCCTCGTATGGCAGTGTCCCAGAACGCAGAGAGCCCATCTGACCATTGAGACGTGATCGAACTCCTGGCCTGACTCCACGCGCGATCCCCCTGCAGGTTTGGGAATGACCGCACATATCGTTGCCAATAGAGAAGTCGGCCACGTCTGGTCCAGCTCCACTTGACTCAAGATGCAAGTAAGTTCCGTCAATCCTGCAGGGGGCATGCGCTGAAGGTCAGCTGGCCCCAGTCCGTCAACTCCTCTGGCTTTGTTGGGGGCCTGTCTGCGAATAACAGATTCCACCTGACCTTCATTAAGTGGAGGAAGAGGGTTGCCCCGAGCATCGCGAGCGATGCCTTCCAAGGTCCAAAGCAACTGCTCGCGCGTGTCATGTGACTCCGCCCAAACGTTCTGCCAGAAATCCTTCTTGGTGCGTATCAACACGCTAGGGTCAGCCGTGTAAGCGCCATCACGTAATATCTCTCGTGGCAGTGGATCTGGAGGTGGAGACCGAACATGACGATGCACTGCTCCAGGGCTCTTGGACCACATCAGTTTTGCCCAGTCCATAAATGCTTGACGCGCTTTGACCAAGGATCTGCCTTGTGCCCTATCTGCCCAAGCGTGCGTAGATTCCAGTAAATCTTGAAGCTGCTCCAACTCTGAAGTCGGTGCGCATTTGGCCTGTGCCTGCCAAGTGTCTATGTCAACACTGAGAGACTTCTTGCCAAAGTAATATTGCCGCTTGGTGTCCTCCAGCCTGGTGCACATAGCGCAGAAGCCTTCCAGACACTTCTGCGCTTCAGTAGGGTCCTTACCAGACTTCTGCAAAGCCAATCCCCGAGTAAGCAACGTGGAGGGTACTCCCCACCATTCTGCGATGGGGTCGCACATATGAGGTCTGCCAGGCGCAGGTCGCATCTTTCTCCAGGAAATCGAATACCCATGTGCCCGTCCACTGTGCTTGTTCGGGTCCTCAACGCCACTGACCTCCAAGATCGCACGCTCCAACGTAGTGACCCATCGGCCATATCTCTGAGCAAGTGCAGCACGCTGAGCGGGGCGCCAAGCTGGTAGAGCACTGGTGTGAAGTTGAGCTGCAGCCGTGGCTGGCTTGTAAACTTCATCCGTAAGCGTGTCACCAATGCTGCGCCAAGCGTCCTGGTCGAGTTTGAACTGCACACGTGGCTCATCAGGGGTAGCTTCCTGTGACGGGAGGCCGTCAAAGGCTGCTCTCAGGTCGTCAGGTAGTTCCTGCCGTCTCGCATCATGAACTTGCTGTCGCTCCTGCGAGCGCTTACTCTGTGGGTCAGGGGCCTTACGGGGCCTGCAGGCTCTGGGTAAGGGTTCAGGAACTTCCAAAGAACGATGCCACCACGTCTTCTTGGCGTCCAAGATATCATTCGCAAGAGCACAGTGAGTTTTCCAAGGAACCGCAAGCACTTGTCGTATCTTGATGCGGTCCATGACGAGTTGGCGTGACACAGTGGCGTAATCATACATGCGACCTTGGCCTTTGTCGCAGGCGAACTTGCAATCTGGAAGAATAATGTTGCCGCGGAGTCGGTCCACCCATCCACTATCAATGAGAGTCTGGGGTTCGTTGTTCCAATCTGCAGCTATCACCCAAGGATCGGCGAGCGCCTTGGTGAAGGCCCCAAGAGCCACCAGCACCTCACTGTTATAATGTGTCAGACCATTGGGCGGCAGCAAATAAGCAGCGATAAAAATCAAGTTGCCAGATTTCAAATGCAGCGTAGTGGCTGAAAAACCTTTGAACGGGTCCATTCTGCAATCTGCAATCGCTTGGTCACGTAATCGATCGAACTGTGTGGCAGCTAAGTGGCATCGCGTAAGTATCCATTCACCAGCCGATATGCCCGTGTCTGATTTACCTGGCTCGAAGCCAGCTCTGAAAGAAAGACGCCAGCCATCCTTCCTCATCTCCTCGGTCCAGTAGGCACACTTGGTGGCTGGCAGGTGCGTTTCAACTAAGCCGACGATGGGGTAGGCGTCCTTGTGGCTATTGACGAAACTACGCACCTTGGAGCCCCACTCCGTGATGTTTGCGAACAGGAGGGTGACATGGTCTGCTGACTGGCGATGCTGCGACACAGCTGGCTCACTCTGGTCAGTCTGTCCTGGCAGACGGGCCGCAGGACCCGAAGCCTCATCAGAGGCCGCCCGAGACTCGGAGCCCCAGGATTGGCGTGGTGAACCTGGTTCACCCATGGCAGGGCCCTCAGGGTCTCTCTGGACCCTCCCACGTCGCGCCCCGAGGCCCCTTTCAGGCTCCTGAGGCTTACACCCAGACGCATTCTGATCGCCAGATGGGGGGGGCGACGAGGAAGGGAGCTTCGCAGGCTTGCATCCTATATGAGACTCCCAATCCACTGGTAAGTGAGCAACGTAGTCCAGCTGCTGGTCCAGCGCGTCGAAGGGGTCTACATCGGAGTCGTCCATGTCCCGGCATCTAGCAGCTCGAACTTCGGCTAAGGTAGTCGAAGGAGCACACTGCTGCAAGACGGGATCGTCCAAAAAGGAATGCCGCGTTACGTGTGAATATTTGGCCGTATCATGATGTCCTGACATACGTTTTCCTTGAACTGCATCGGGCTCCAGTGGGGGCGAGAGGCCATCAGCACCGGTTGCGCCCAGGGCGCAACCTGCCCGCGAAGCTGCCGTCGAGGTGCCCGAGGCAGACCACGTAGCTGACGCTGATGGAGCAGAAGTAGACGGAGTGATATCGGCCATCGGCTGCGATGACTGCTGAGACCATCCCATCTGTTTGCGAACCTTGATCACAAGGCTGGTAACTTCATTGTAGAATTCATCAACCGACATAGCTCTACCAATGGGAGCACATGCTTGCTGTAGTATATGTGGTGCACATCCATACGGAATGTCTGAGCCTGGGTAGCACTGGAACGCTGGGGTCCGTGAAATGAGACGCAGGACCCCTAGAGAGACACTCGAAATCTCACCCCTCGCCAGGCGCGACCTGCGCGACGCACCCCCGCTGAAGCTTGGCCAAGCGGTCGCGGACGGAGGCGAAGCGCTCCTGCTGGGCGGGGACTGCAGTCGCCGCGGTTGCCACTCCTTGGGAGGCAGCAGTACCTCCAGACTCTGCAGCAGCCGCTGGTTGCTCTCCATTGTCGGCAGCTCCAGGTCGGGCCTGCGCTTCAGGTCCATCATCTGCCACTCGTCGCTTCTTGGCGATAATGCGTGCCTTCTGCGCCTCGTGCTCATCGACCACTCGCTTGGCCTCCTCCATGGCAGTGGCGAACAAGTCCTTGGCCTTGGAGGCCAAGGCCTCACGAAGCTGCGCGGTGCGCTCCTCGATGCGCTTCTTGTCATCAGCATCGAGTTCCAGTCCCTCAGGCATCTCGGCCAAGAGGCCCAAGTCAAAGTCCAGGGTCACTTTGCCAGAGACCAAATCCTGGAGGCTGATCCTGTTGGGAGCCGTCTGGGCAGGAGGAACTTTGGCCAGCTTGCTGGCCAGCTCCGCGTGCTGGGCGTCCATGATCTCCAGCTCGGCACGAAGCTCACAGAGGTGGTTCTCGTGTTCACGTAGCTGCTCCTGCCACTTGTCGTGCTTGTCGAGCTCGCGGGAGAGGCGCTGCAGTAGTTTATCCCGCTCCTTGCGAGAATCTGCCAATCGCTGCTCCATGGGCTTCTCCACGACAGGCTGTGTCGGCTTGGACAGGGTAGTGATGCGGCCTTGTACACGGTTGGCGAGGTTCTTGTCGCCCGTCTTGGTGGCGATGGCGAGCAATGAGGCGAGCTCGGTGCTGTCCAGGCCATCCAGGCTGGTCCACGCCAGAGCAGGAGGAGCAGCATGAGGCCCACCAGCTTGCAGCCCCACTGCCAAGGGCTGGCTCGGCGGTGCCTTCGAGTCTGCCCACGACCGTCCGCCCCAAGACTGCCCCCACTGGGCAGGAGAAGTCCACCCAGGCTCTGGTGTGCGTGGTGAGTAGCAGTGTTTGCACCAATGCCACCGCTCCTCGTTGCGAGAGCAGCCGCAATGTCCGCAGCGCCACGTCGGTCCAGAAGGAGGGGGACGCTTCGGCTTGCGACGGAGGACCGCTGCCTTCTTGTTCTCTGACCAGTCTCGCCAAGGTGGAGTAGAATCATCTGTTCCCATGGGCCAGCCGTACAGAAAGTAGAAGGAGATCGGGAGGTACGGTCCCGAACGTAGCAAGCGTGGTGAAGAAAGCGGCACCTCCAGCCTGGGCAGGCACTGGGGAGGTGCGGGAACTGTGAGGGCCGTCGAATCCCTCCTGCCAAAATGTCAAGTCCGAGCCAACGCTACGGACTTGAGCCAAAATGGCTACGGAGAAGGAGGAGGAGGAGGAGGAGGAGGAGGAGGAGGAGGTGGAGGGGGAGGCAACGGCCGTCTGCGCGGGCCGTTTCGTCGGGTCTGGGGGTGTCTCCGTGAGGTGTCCGGGGGCGATCTTGGCCTCGTGGGCCGTCCTGGGGCGTCGATGCTGGGCCTCTCGGGGCTCTCTTGGGGAGCCTCTTAAGGAGCACCTTTGGGGCGACTTTTGCGGCCCCTTCGGCCGCCCGAAGCCTCCTCCTCCTCCTCCTCCTCCTCATCATCATCATCATCCTCCTCCTCTTCCTCCTCCTCCTCCTCTCCCGCGTCCCCCCTCCCCTTTCCCCTCCCCCTCCCCCCTCCCCCTGCCCCCTCCTCCTCCTCCCCCTTCCTCCTCCTCCTCCTCCTCCCTCCTCCTCCTTTCCCTCCTCCTCCTCCTCCTCCTTCCTCCTCCTCCTCCTCCTCCTCCTCCTCCTCCTCCTCCTCCTCTCACTCCTCGCTTTCTCCTCCTCCTCCTCCTCCTCCTCCTCGACCCGAGGCCCTTTGAGACCGCCTTGGGGTTTGGGTACAACGGGCCGGCGGCGGGCGTCCGAGGCCGCGGCCGCGGTGAGCACGGTGGAGAGGTACTCCTCCCGAGGGCGCGCGCCAATGTCGCACGCCGCTCGCCGCTCGCCGCCGCTCCCGCGGTCGGCTTCCTCGCTCACCGCCTCGCTCGCCGCCTCGCTCGCCGCCGCCGCCCTGCCTGACCGCCACTGGCATCTCTCCCTCGTCGTCGGCGTCGTCGTCGTCGTGGCTCCTCGTCGTCGCCTCTCGTCGTCGCTCCTCGTCGTCGTCGTCGTCGCCGCCGCCGCCGTCGTCGTCGTCGTCGTCGTCGTCGTCGTCGTCGTCGTCGTCGTCGTCGTCGTCGCCGATCGCCGCGGATCGTCAGACGATCGTCGTCGTCGCTCCTCGACGTCGTCGCTCGTCGCCGCGGTGCCGTTCCGAGGAGCATCATCGCCGCCGAAAAGGAGAGAAGGACGAAGAGGACTGCGAGGAGGGAGAAGGAGAGAAAGGGGGCAGAAATCCTACCAGCACTCTTGGCGTAGGTGGTTATTGAGTCATGTCCGTGAAGCCCGCGAGCCCTTTGTAGTGTGTTGACAAGGATGGCGGGGATGTCAGCATATCGACTGCTGCGCGCAAGGCCACCATCCCTGTCAAAAGAGAATGTATCATGCACCTCGAGGCTAAATCTGGATCATGCGCGGCCACCACGCGATCACTGTCAAGTGGTTTTTGACAAGGACGGCGGGGGTGGTGGCGTATGGCCTGCTGTGCGGAGGCCCACCAAACACCATGATGGGCATTGTTCCCTACCTAGGCTCTGCCTGGAAAGGTTCTTACTCTCTGGGCTTAAAAGGGGCCGGGCAGAGGAAATCGCCCCGGGCGGTTCCCCCGGTATCCGCCCCGCAGTTCCCCCAGCTACGTCCCCTTAGCTTAGCGTTGCTTATCTCATATTAGCGTTACCTAGCTTAACTTAGCTTAGCTTAGCCTAGTCTAGCTTAGCTTAGCTTAGCTTAGCCTAGCCTAGCCTAGCCTAGCTGAGCTTAGCGCAGCATAAGCATATCATAGCATAGCATACCATAGCATGTCATAGCATATCATACCATACCATAGCATAGCGCAGAATAGCATAGCGCAGCATAGCATAGCATAGCATAGCATAGCATAGCATAGCATATCAAAGCGCAGCATAGCCGAGCCCAGTCTAGCTTTGCTTAGCATAGCACAGCGCAGCATCGCATAGCATAGCATAGCATAGCATGGCATAGCGCAGCATAGCATACATTGATGAGGAGAAGGAGGAGGACGGCGTTTACCGCTCCTGATAATGTTGCTTTCCTAGAGGCTCCAACTCCTAGGTAGGGTCGCACTGGGATAATTTTTCGACAAGGATGGTGGGGGCCGGCATGTTTCCCGATGTGTGCTGTCACGTGCGCAAGCGCACCTGACACTCTCTGCAAATGCCCCGAACGCGGCGCATCTTGCGCGGATGGAGTATGCGGCACACCTGGCGCACGTGGCGCATCTGGCGCACCAGGCGTGCCTGGCACGCTCGGGACCCAGGGGTGCCTGGCGCGCGTGGCACGCCTGGCGCGCGTGGCGCGCGTGGCACGCGTGGCGCACCTCGCCCCAGCGTCGCGCACATGGGTTTTGGTTCCCAGTAGCTGTCCATCCAAAGACGGCCGCTGAACATGCCGAGGCTCTGGTGTTCCTTATGTGCTGGGAGGGCGGGTGGAAGTGAGCTAGAGGGTGTCTTGACCCCTCCCCCTACCCCCTCTCCTGGGTCCTGGAGGGGGGGACCGAGGGATTAGAGCGTCCAAGATGACCCAAAATGGCTCCAACAAGGCACTCGGCAGCCCAAGACGGCTTCCAAAATGGCTCAAGATAGCCGAACCTGGCTCAAGATAACCGCTGGCATACCTCCAAGAGGCTCCAAGACAGTCCCAAGAGGGTTCCAGGTGCCCTTCGAGCCTTCCTAGGCACTCCCCAAGGAACCCAAATCCTTCAAACACCTGGGGGAGATCAATGCTTTTTGCTGTGTTGTTTTTGTCGTGTCCGATGGGCCTCTGAGGCCTCAAGATTGCCCCAATATGGTCCAAGAGAGCCCCAAGAGAGGTTCAGCAGCCCCAGGAGCGCCCAATAGACGCCCAAGAGCGGCCCAAGAGGGCTCCAACAGGCCATCGTGAAGCCTCCGATGGGGGGGGGCTCAATTAATCCCCCCTTTTTGAGCCATGGGGGCCAAGACGGCCCAAGAAACGTCCCACATTTCTACTTGGCACGGTCGTTGCAGGATCTTTGCAGTGTCACCCACCCCTGCGTAGACCCTGCAAATACCCTGCAAAGTCCCTGTGACGACGCTGCAAAGTCCCTGGTCAGGGAGCCTCGAGCCCCAATGCTCAAAAAGCGAAGGGATACGTATTTCAGATCCCCCCCTCGAAAACTCCAAACACGTGCCGCGTTCCTCCTCCTCCTCCTCCTCCTCCTCCTCCTCCTCCTCCAAAGTTTCCCTTTCTCCTCCTCCTCCTCCTCCTCCTCCTCCTCCTCCTCCTCCTCCTCCTCCTCCTCCCCCGCCTGCGCAGCAAGCCCCTCCAGATCCGTCATAGCCTCCTCCTCCTAATTATCATCATCCTCCTCGGTGGCCTTTGGCGATTGATCATGCGGGATATCCTAGCAGTTCCCCAGACAACTCGCCTTGGTATCGTTTGCGGATGCCGATAGGATTCGATGGTCCGCGGATCTTTCGGGGCAGGTATAGCCCTGAGCTAACTCCAACACGGTCAACGAAAACTTCCCTGCAGCAGCTGTGCCATGGGAATACATTCTGCGGCCCCGCTATGCTTCCGAGGCGGCCGTGCCGTTGCATTCATCTACATTTCACCGATGCGGACACCTCTCCTGGCAATTGTTTCTATCCGTCCAGCATGACACAGAAGTCACGCTCCCATAGATTTGGGAAGGCGGAGCGATCCCAACATAACTCCAAGAACGCATGCCAACATTTGACAAGCAACGGGGCTCACGTGACTATGTTTTGAAACGTTCGACACATGCTCCCGCAATTTCTACGGCCCCCGCGCGCTTCCAAGGCAACTGTTCCCCTTCGTATTTCTACAACTCTCTGACGCAGGCAACTCGCCTGGCAATCGTTCCTACCAGTCCGGTGTGCAACAAAATTCGCGCGCCGGGTCTTGGACGCAACACGGAGCAAGTGCACATGAACCCTTGCGGCCACGGACCAATGCACGACAACTCCATGGAATCGTCCCAGAAGGCCCACATCAGGCCGGGGCTGCAGGAGAACATGTCTTCAACCAGTGGGCCCGCCGCTCTTGCGGCCCCCGACACGCCCCCAAGAACACGGCTCCATTGCAATCGTCTGCACAGCCCTGATTCGAGTAAATCCCGTGGCAATTTGTTTCTGGATGGGCTGGTGAGGATATTTTTTGGTACGCGGGCTCGCGAAACGAGTCGAACGCCGAGCCTGCAACGGCGGGCCGCGCCGGTAAAGAAGGGAAAAGACAGTGAAAGCGATGCCGCCCAAGAGGCCGCGAAACCGACCAGGCGGTCAGCAGCAGAAGAGCGTGCCGAACACGAAGACCTTGAACTCGAGCGTGGCGAAGCACAGGAAATGTCCCGAAAGCATGGGAAGGACGGAGGCCAAGGCGGCGATACTCTTTTTTTTACGGCCGCAGGCGGAAGCGCCAGCGGCAGGCGGTCACGGTCGGGCTGCGGCAAGGCGGCGATACGCGAAGTGTCACGAACTGTACTTTCGCTTCGCAGGGCAATCCAAGAAACAGAGAACCTGGCAAGGCCAGCAACCGTCTATCAGACGCCGTCCGAAACACTGCCGATGCCCCTTCGGCTCAACCGAGGCTGGGAGAGCAGAGGGGAGAGAAGGGTCGGAGGAAGGAGGGGGCAGTGAGGGCGGCGAGGGGGGAGGGGGGGGGAGTGCAGCAGAAACGAGGGGGAGAAGGAGCACGCAAAGATGAATGGAAGGAGGAGGAGGAGGAGGCGGAGGAGGAGGAGGAAGTCCTCCTTCCCCTCCTCATCCTCATCGTGCCTCCCACTCTCCCTACATACTCCTACTGGCACGTGGGCGCCGGCTTGGTTCCCAACATTGTCCTGCTATCATAAGTTTGGAATCGCATGGGTACCCGCTAGTCCCTCTTAGATGGACGCCCACTTGGTTCCCATTACTTACGCAGGACGAAAGATTTTCCTCTTGAGGTGAAAATGGCCATGAGCAGTTCGCGAGACAACGTCGGCGCCGCCGAACGGACGGCGACGGGACGAGCTCTTTGCAGCAACCGGGGGGAGAGGGATGTGTGTATTCATGTTGAATGGGGCCCGCTCGCGCGGGGAGTTGATGGGAGTGCGCGAGACGACGCATTACCGAACCCCCCTCCCCCATATAATCTTAACACGCGCGGTTTGCGAGGTCCGCGGATCCGATTTCTTCCGGGTCCCTGTTTTAATTCAATAGTATGAATTTGAAGCAGGGTAGAAATCGGATCTGCCGTAAAAAATGAGACCGGACACGGGTCCAGCTAATCCGAAACCGGATCCGTACGGACGGTTATCTCATACGAGTCTGCTCAAGACTTCACACCGTCGTTCCGCGCCCAAGAGGAAAAACTTTCGTCCTGGGGATGTATTCGGACATATACACTTGTCGAACATGGGGGTCCAAGTTGGGGTCCATTGAGGGGGGTCTAAACGGAAACCCATTTGATTCCCAATCTGGGAAGCAAGTGGGAACCAACTGAAAGCATCAGAATATTGGGAATCAAGCTGGTGCCCCTCCCCATTTGGGGTACCCCCGCTGCTTTTCCGCCGCCCCCCACCCCCCCTATGGCGCGCGTCTGAACCCCCTCCCTGGCGCGCGGAGCGCGCCAGGGGCGGCGCCGGAGGCACCGCTAAGGGGGCCCAGCGCGGATCCAAGACATCCGCGCGGAGCGCGAAAAGTTTATGCTTACGTGTTTTCGATCCTCCATCGCCTCCTCCTCCTCCTCCTCCTCTCCTCCTCCTCCCTCCTCCTCCTCCTCCTCCTCCTCCTCCTATTCCTCCTCCTCCTTCTCCTTCTCCTGCTCCTCTCCTGCCTCTCCCTCCTCCTCCTCTCCTCTCCTCCTCCTCCTCCTCGTTCGTCTCCTCGTCGACGTCGTCGTCCTCCTCCTCCTCCTCCTCCTCCTCCTCCTCGTTCGCCTCCTCGGCCCCCAAGATCGGGGAGCCCCCCCGGAGATTGGGATCCACGTCGGGAGCCGGGCCCTGGGCCTGGCAGGCAACGTAGGAGCTCGACCACAAAGAAGCTCTCAACAAGGAACGCTGTTCTTCGGCAGGCTACTGGGCGCGCACACCCGAAGCGTCAACAAGGAACGCTCCTCCTCCTCTCCACAAGAAACCCTCCACAAGGAACCCTCCTCCTCCTCTTTCTCCTCCTCTTTCTCTTCCTCCTCCTCCCCCTCCTCCACAAGTAACCCTCCATAAGGAACCCGACCCTAAGACCCCAGGACGTACATTGATGCTTGGAGTGGGAACGTCACGCTTTCCGTATGTACAGTAGCAAGACCATCGAACAACTCAAGAAGCCCAGGTCACCTTGGAGGCAAGTAAGGTGTGTTTCTCGGTATGGGCTTCCACTGCATTGGGAGCCCGGCGAGCTTCTGAGGGGGAGGAGGAGGAAGAGGAGGCGGAGGAGGATGATGATGATGAGGAGGAGGAGGAGGAGGAGCCCAGGGTCCCCAGCGAACTGGGACCCTCCCCCCAAGATTGGGATCCAAACTGCTATTGAGGGGGCCTGGCCCTAGGCCTCCCGAGCACCGGGAGCCGAGCGGGTGTCCGTTCACCGGGGGGGTCCAGCGGAGACCCACTCGGCTCCCGCTCCTCGGGATGCCCCGGGCCGGGCCCCCGTCCCAGTCTGGATCCCAATGTTTCAGTCGGGCGCGTCCCTCGAGAGGAGGAACGCTCAGAAATAGTCGACAACCGATCTGGAGACGATCTTTCGAGGATTGGTTGACCATGTCCGATGAGTTTTGGCTGTGTCATTGCGCTTCCAAGATCCGCCTGTGAGGGGGACATCCCCGACCCAACGGTACTCGGGGGTTCCAGAGAATCGCGCCCTGGGCCTCCCGAGCGCGGGGGGCCAAACGGGTTTCCGTCTGGGGGAGGGGGCCAGGCTGACACCCGCTGGGTCCCCAGTGTTCGCTGCCGGTTGCCTCGGACGTGCGAGAATTAGGAACCAAGCGGGCGCCCCCTCCTCGTCGTCATTACCCTCTTCCCTGACCACACCCTCGTCCTCCTCTTCCCTGACCACCTCCTCCTCCTGCTCCTCCTCCTCCTCCTCCTCCTCCTCGTTCGTCTCCTCATCGACCTCCTTCTCCGACTTGACCTCGGCTTCCTCGTCCTCCCCTCCACTGCATGTGTTTCTTCCGCATGTTCCTCACACCACCTGCTCCTTCGCATCCTCCTACAGCCGATCTGCTCCTGTCTAAACCCCAACCACCTCGAAGTCATCCTGCCGCACCTCCTCCCCCTGCTCGTCCTTCTGCTCCTGCTCCTCCTCCTCCTCCTCCTCCTCCTCCGCCTCCTCCACCGCAGATTCGTCTCTTCATGCTGCCCAAGCTGCTGTTATGTATTATGCCATCTATGCCCACCATTTGGCTTCACACATCCACGAGTTGGAATACAGCGACCTCGAGGCAACAGCATGCCTCCCGTATCCCTCCTCAGGGATGAAGAACCGGCCCCAGGGATGAACAACCAGTCCCAGGGAAAGAGGTCAGACCTCTGGGGGTCGACGTTGTGAACTTGTCTTGGCGAAGGACTCAACCATATGCAGTTGTGGGTACCGCAATTGTGAATATCTTCTTCGGTGAAGCTCCCAATGGGGCCACGAAATGCTGCACTGGGTGGTGGGGAACTCATGCGGGCGGTAGCACTGGGGCCGTCGGTGGGGCTCCCTATGGGGCCACGCAGCGCTGTACGGGGTGTGCGAAAATGCCAAATTGGGTATGTGGGACGCAGCGGGCGGTCCAACTGGGCGCTTCGGTGGAGCTCCCTATGGGACCACGAAACGCTGTACTGGGTGGGTGAAAATGACAAATCCATGTGTCCCAGACGCTCCCACTGAGGGCTTCGGTGGAGCTCCCTATGGGGCCACGAAACGGTGTACTGGGTGGGTGAAAATGCCAAACTCACGCGTCCTAGACGGTTCCACTGGGCGCTACGGTGGAGCTCCCTATGGGGCCACGAAGCGCTGTCCTGGGTGTGTGAGCATGCCACATTCATGTGTCCCAGACGGTCCCACTGAGGGCTTCGGTGGAGTTCCCCATGGAGCCACGAGGCGCCCAAATTCATGTGTAATGGACGGTCCCACTGGGGGCTTCGGAGGAGCTCCGTATGGGGCCACGAAGCGCTGTACCTGGTGGGTGAGACTGCAAGATGCATGCGTCCAGGACGCTCCCACTGGGGGCTTCGGTGAAGCTCCCTATGGGGCCACGAAACGATGTCCTGGGTGGCTGAAACGAGGGGAGGAAGGAGGAGGGGGAGGAAGGAAGAAGGAGGAACGCGGGGACCGTTGTTTCAAAACGAGGACCCAACACCAAAGGATGGTTGGGATAACATAAAAAAAACATAATCAGAAAAAAAAACAGAAGGACCACGAATACTTGTCACTGGGCTATTATTTTCACTATTCTTGAGTTCTCCTCCTGTAGAGGGACATGCCCGACTTGATCGCAGCACCAGTGAAGGCCAAATCTCGCCACAGACACTGGCGGTGGCATCAACGCTTGTGCCGAGAAGCCAACGCCGGTGTCGAGCTTTCAGTGCGCGGATATCGATACTAGTAACGGCGTCGACGCCAGTGCGCCATGAGGATCAGAGCGGGTGGACCTCGATCTCGGCGTCGATTGCAGTGCCGAACCTTCCGTGCGGGTGCATCCTGGCGCCTCCTCCTCCTCCTTCTCCTCCTCCTCCTCCTCCTCCTCCTCCTCCTCCTCCTCCTCCTCCTCCTCGTCGTCTGCGGAGCTCCTCGAAGGCGTCGGACTCGTAGCACCAGTGGAGGCCGTCCTTGGCGGTCGCGGTGGAGCAGTGGCTGTCCCAGCCTCGGCCGCGGCCCCGCGGCACTGCCGCTGCAACAGGGCGGCCGCTCCGGGCAACAGGGGCGGGCGCAGGGAAGGCCAGCGCGGCGACGACCCCTGCCTGGTGCTGCCGCCGCGCGGTATCGACAGAGGTCAGAAAGTCCACCCCCATCCCGGCCCATCCCAACCACCCCGACACGCGAAGTCGTGCAGCAAACGCGCCCTGAGCAAGAATCGAACAAGGCAGGGCTGTTCAGTAGACGCCCAGGGCTGTTTCGTCAACGGCAGTTGTCCGGGCCGGGTGGTTCTTTTCCTCCCTCTTGGATCGAGGCTGCGGCGGAGGGCGGGTCGAGCAGGGGGCAGATCTGAGGCTTATGCTCTCTCTCTCTCTCTCCCTCCCCCTGCAACCCCCTCCTCCTCTTCCCCTCCCCCCTCCCTCCCCTCCTGAGAAGGGGAGGGAGGGGGGAGAGTCTCTCTCCTCCCCTCCGCTGTGCTCGCGCGGCGGCTATCCTGCCCGGCTGCCTCCTGTCTATCATTAGGCAGACAGGCAGGCGGCCCCTCGGAGCCGACGCTGCACGACGTGCGGCACCGCGAACGATCACGGCCGGAGCCCGGGCTCCCGTCTGTAACCAGCCTCGAACGTATCCCTATCCCTAAGATGGGCGAGCAAAAAGCGAGGATAATCTTAGGGATAGGCCCTCAGAAACTGAGGGAATCCTTATGATCGGCATCGAGGTGAGGTGATGTCAAACATGGGGAAAGGGATATGTTTCAAACTGGTAATGGTAAGTCTGTCCGCGGCACCGCTTCGGGGCGGACCGGCCCGTGCCAGCCCCGGCGCCCGAGGCCGCGCGAGCTACCCCCCGCCGTGAGGGAAGGGAGGCGTCGCCCAGATCTCCAGGGGCGGCGGCGGCAGCCCCACCGAGCAGCCGCCCTGGGGGGGCAGCCCCCCCCCCCTTGCGAGAAGGGCGTCGAATACAGAGCTGATCTACCCCAGAACTGTGGTCACCGCAGAACTGATCTACCCCAGAACTGATTTGTTCGTCGAGTCCACGAAGCATGTGGAGGATGCTCGCAGATCGAGGAGCATGGTACGCACTTGTGCCGTACACTCGGCAAGAAAATCGCTGTTGGGGCAAATCGTTTTTTTGCAGTCGATCCTCTACCGGCGGATTTGGGACGAAAAGACAAAATTTATCAAAACATGCACCAAACATACTGAAACATTGTGAAACAATTCACCCCCACACTATGATTTGACCAATTTTGAAGATTCCCCCTGTAGACGGACAGGCCCGACTCCATACTCGACCCTTGACGCCGGGGCGCGGGCGGTCGTCCAGCACGGGCTGCAGGCGCACGAGGCCGACGGAGGGCGCGAAGGCCGACAGCACCTCCGCGCGGGCAGCTCGCGCGCCCCGGGTACGCACACACAAGTCGTACGCCAGAGGCGAGTGGACGCCGACAGTGCTGCACAACGCCGTGCTGCCACTCGCGCTGATCACGCACAGGGTCAGAACGCTGACTGGCACGACATGGCTCTCTCTCTGTGCCCTGGTCGTCCACTGACTGCGCGGACGCCCACATCGCTTGACATACCGCTGCGAAGCTGCGCGCCCCTGGCAGGAAAGCCTGAAGTCGAACCGACAGGTCGGAGCGGCGATCGCAACGGATCGGATCGGCGGGGATCGGCAGCCGAGTCGGGAGGAGCCGCACCGCCTGGACTCGGCAGAGCAGGGAAGGCCTCGTGGAGACATCGGGGCCCGAGTCGGAAGCCGGGGCCGACTCGGCTCGGGATCGGAAGCGATCCACGCCGAGTCGGCTCGAAGCGGGAGCATCGAAGCGAGCGCTGCCCGGGCGGGGCAGCCGCGCGGCCCCGCCGCGGGGTCGAGCACGGCAGAGGCCGCCGCCACCGAGCGGGCCCCGCCGAAGCCCCGCCGAAGCTTCGGGGCCCCTCGGGCGGGAAAGCCATGCAGGGCGAGGCCAGGACGAGGTTCACATCGGGTGAGGGCGCATCGAGGATCTCTGAGATCTGGCGGCCCTGTGAGGATGCGTCTGGGGGAGGAGGAGGAGGAGGAGGAGGAGGAGGAGGAGGAGGAGGAGGAGGAGGAGGGGAAGGAGGAGGAGATGCGTCGAGGATCACATCGGGTAAGGATGCATCGGGTGAGGATGCATCGAGGACCTCTGGAGAATGTACCGAGCGCCGCGGCCTTCGCAGAGCGCTCCGGAAGGCTCTGAGAGCGTTCCGGAACGCCCTCTGGAACGGTCTCTTATGCTCGGGGCAGTGTCGGACGGGGCTACAGGATGATCGCCCTGGCCCCGTCCGACACTGCCCCCCCGGGCCTGCGCCCGGCTCTGCCCCATGGCCTGGAGCTTGGCAGGGCAAGTTGGGGGAGGAGGGCGGCATTGTTGCTGCCGCCCCCCTCGCGCGGCCGCCCCGGCCGCCACCGGGGAGGGGGGGCGTGCCCTGGGCTGCGGCACTCCCGAGCGTCACCCAGTGCTGGGCGACGCTCGGGTGTGCACGGACACTGGCCGACCCGACAAAATGTCAGTGGCTCCACAAAAACGGCTCCCAATACACATTGTCTTTATTATTTAGTCTTGTTTGGGGCTCCGGTACGTCCCGGGCCCGGCACGTGCAAGTACTGCCTTGGGGTGCACGGATGGGCGGACAGCGCTCTGAAGGCCAGGAGGTGGCACGACGGCACCAACCGCGCGAGGGGGACCGGCCCGAGCTGAACTGCCCATGAGGCCCTCGCTTCTCCTCTGGCTTCAGTGCTGGCGACCAGGGGTGGAGGGGTGGGTGCCCCCCCGATGGGTTCTCGTTGGCTGTGGTCTCTGTCTCTCCTCCGAGTGCAGTCAAAACTCTGCAGTGAGGACGCGCTGTTAGGTCGCAAGACCCTTGGACGGTCCTTCAACGCCGCAGCCGAAGCTTTTCTAGCGGCGCACTGCCGACACAATCTAAGGACGCAGGGGTGCCCTTGGGAACCCAGACGTGCGACGTCCCGATGCTTTCAATGCGGGGTCCCTGGAAGTTCCGACCCTCTCCCCGGGACTGCTTTTTTTCATCCTGAGCCGTTGTCTGACAGCCCCGAGGCCTGGCGAGGACCCCCCGAGGCCGGAACTTGCCAAACCCCTCCCGTCCTGATTTTTTTTACGACGCGATCGTGTCTGGGAAAGGTTACCCGTCCTTACTTAAGGAGGGGAAAGAACACAGACACAATTCATCGTCGATCTCCAGGGCAATCTAGGAACATGTGGGAAGTGGGGGGGGAAGACAAACACCCAGAAAATATATGCAAAGATTGGGCATCCTGTCAATTGTGTGCATTGATTTTGTGTGTCCCAGGGCCCCTTTATATTCTTGTGGGCTCTCACTGTACAGGGGCGCGGTCGGCCCAGCGCGCCCCCGGAGCAAGGGGGGGGGGGGAGGGAGGGAGTCGAGAGCGCCTGCCTCGCCAGCGCGCCCCGCCCCGTGGAGGCCCCCACGGAGCTCCTCCACGCCCCGTGGCTCTCTGCCACCCCGCCGACGACCCTGAAGGGGCCCCAGGACACACAAATAAATACACACAACTAGACATGTTTCCCCACATTTTCCCATATGTTCTGAGTTTCTGTCTTCCCCCCCACCCTTCCAATATTTTCCAATATTTTCCTGGGAGTCGACGATGAATTGTGTCTGTGTGTTTTTTTTCCCTCCTGATACCTGCCAGGCCACCCCCCACCCAACCCGAGGACCCGAATCTCGGGTCGGAGGGGTGCGAGCTTCATGTGGTCTTCCATGCTCCCCGGCCCTCCCCCTCCCCCTGGGAAGGGACGGCACATCGGGGCCGGCGGCTTGGGTTTGGGGTGGTCTGGTGGGCGGTGACCCTCTGCGTGCGTCGCCCACTTGCTTACGCAGGCCGCCGGGGCGGCACGCTGCATTGGAGACGAGGGCGCCTACGCGCGACCTTACGCGGACAGCTTAGGTGCCAACGTCGGCGCAGGCGACCCCGCTTTCGCGCTTCGCTAGCTAGCTCCTGCCGGCGCAGCACCCGTTGCACCGCCACCGAGCCTCAATGAAGACAGCTCGGTGCATTGCGGTGCCCACTCCGGGGCAACGTGGCAGCTCAAAGGTGCGGAAGACCAAACCCGTGTCAACGCAGCAGGGGGAACAGCAAGAGGCGGGTTCCAGAAACCCCGCACCCCCCAAAAGTGCCATCCATTGGAGCGTAACTTTCATTTCCGCCGACCTTCCGCTGGCTTATGCCGGCGGAGGCGGCCTCGTCTTACTCCCGCTGGCTTCCGCTGGTCTTCCGCCAAGAAAGAGATGGCAACTCCTTCGGCCCTCGAAAACGAAGCCCTTTTCTGGAACGCCTCAAGTGGCAGCGCAAAGAGGGCGGAAAAGGATACGTAGTCAGCCGCACTTGCGGGTGAGAGTGAGGGGGCGATGGGGCTGGGGTTCCGAATTGTGGTCTGTGCTCTTCAGAGCCGACGCGAAACAGCCCGCCGTAGGCGACGACTTCGGTTTTGAAAGCAACTCGATTAGGTCGGCCCGCCGCCAGCGCACCGATTCGATTGAAGCAGTGTCGCTGGTGGGCTGCGGGTGTGCCGCAGCGCGGGTGGGTCGCGACGCGGGCGGGGCCGCGCATGGATCGAGGAGCGGGTGGACCGCGGGTCAACCGTTCACTGGCGTAATGATGCGGTGGCCCTTCTCATGCAAACCCATAACTCGGGCGAGCGTGTGATGATGGTGGCGCTGATGACCAGGGCGACGACAACCAACAATTACGCTAACGATGGTAATGTCAGCGGCAGCGGTGGTAGTGATGACGACGGCACGATGGTGGTGAGGATGCTTAGGAGGCGCGCGCGCTGAAATCCGAACGCCCGGCAAATACTGTGTTGGAATATTACAGTGTTTCGTCCAGACCTGGGCGGAGAACCCACTCTGGAACTCCATAGGAAGGCGCTAGTTGTGGGAGGTGGTCACCGTGCTCGGTGCGGAAACGCGCGCGCGTGGCGCGCGCTGCGTTCGTTGACGGGAGTTGGCGGGTGCGCGCTGTCGACATGCGCGCGGGGGTGCCGCACGTGGCCTCGTTCACCGAATTTCCCAAACGGTCGATGGTCCTCAATGATTCCGCGCTTCCAACAATAGCACGCGAAACCGGTGAGGGCAGTGTTTGGAAAAGTTGTGTCTTGAAACGGCTCCCATACGAATTACTTTGCAAATCTTCGACATGCGCCCGTCGGCGCGAGCATGTTCCCGCATGGTGTTCTGTGGGGTGGGGGTCGTACAAAACGCACGTGCTTGATCAACGCGTGCGCACCGCTTTGCATCATTCGGCAGAGATGGGGCGGTGAGGGGGGGATACCGGTTTGGCTGGCATGATCGTGTTCGATAGTTAAGATGGACGGCCGTGCATGCTAAATTCGAAAATGGAATGCCCCCGGGGATGTGGGCATCCCTACTACATTTTATTACCCGGACCCCCCCACCCACCCACCCCCTAAACCGACCCCACCCGTACCCAGGGACGCCCTGGACGCCCCTTCGGACGTCTCAGCGGCCCCCTCGGACGCTTTTGGAAAAAGTCCGCTGGCCCATCCGGGCCTCCCAGGGCGCCTTGCCGGGCCTTGTGAGCAGATTCGAAACGATCAGAGGGGTCGTCAGGAGAGGCGCAAGAGAGACCCAAGACAGCACAAGAGCGCCCCAAGAAGAACCTCGATGGTGTTAAGAGAGCCCCAAAGAAGCACAAACCGTCCAATCCCCGAGGGAAAATGCATACATTTACAAAAATATCCACTGTTTGGGACTTCGCAGCGTCCAAGACAGCCCGATGGGCTCCCGATGTCCCCAAGACGGCCCAAAAGGCCCCCCAGAGGGTTTGAAGACGGCCCAAGAAACCCCCAAAACTGCCCCAAAGAGCCCGAGACTGCCCGCAAGAAGCCCAAGATGCCCCCAGAAGGCTCCCAAAAGAGACCCACGAAAGCCATGGGAGACCCCCAAGAAGGCCACCAAAGGCCCCCAAGAAGGCCCTAGATGACTTCAGAAGACCTCTGGACGGCCCCAGCTCCCCAAGACGGCCCAAGAAGGCCCCGGAACGGCCCAACAGGGCCCCAGGACGGCCCAAAAGAGACCCAAAAACGCCCAGACGGCGTTTTCTTACGAAGTACATCGGGCTGACCCGACGATCTTGGTTCCACGCTTGAGGCTCGAGGTGTGAGTTCCTCGACCGAGAGAGACAGGCAATGGGTCTAGATTCGAAGTTCGACGATCGAAGATTTCCGGAGTGCCTGGAGCCCTCCAGGCATTCAGGAAGCTACCAAACATCGATTTGTCCGGAGTTGCTGCGCCTTCTTCGGCGTGTCATGGGAGCGCTCCTCACTTCCTCAGAGGAGCTTCGCGCGTGTGACAAAATCAGCATTCCTTCCACACTCCTGCGCACAAGCGTGCAAGCGCAATCGGCGAACGCGGTGTCAGCAGGCACCAGGGTCATCTGACACATGAGCCGGTCGCCCGTCCAGGCTTCGAGGTCCCCCCCCGCTGGAGCAAGCGATGATTGATTGCTTTGCCGGGGAGGGTCCGGAACCAAGCACATGGCGCGAAGCGCCAATGCAGTCTTGTACACACATACATACATACATACATACATACATACATACATACATACATACATACATACATACATACATACATACATACATACATACATACATACACCTATATATACAGTATATATATATGTACATATACATTTATTTCTTCTCTGAAAAGAAACGGAGCGAGCTGCTGCGGCGCACTCAACGCGGCGAACGGGTGGCCACACGGTGGGAACCTGGACACGCTAGCCAGCGCGCGGGGCGGCGACGAGGGGGCGACGGGCGCACCCACCAGGCAGTTCCAGGAACTGCCTGGCGTGCATGCCAGAACTTCACTTCCCATCGCATTGCAATGCGTATCATCGCGATACATCGCATACCATAAGATAACACAGCAACAATGGGACAACAATAACAAAACCTTAATGTAATGGGCAGCTGGTGGTGGATCGGGAGTTCCTTAGCAGCGTAAATAGGAAGCCCTTCGTGCGAGAAGCGTTCGCGGAAATACGTTCGGAAACCGGAAAAAATGGAGGGAAGTCCCAGGGAAGTCTGAGGGTCGTGGACGACGTCGCGGTGGTGTGGTGTAAGCTTGTTTCCCCGTTCCCCCCCGGGGAAGCAACGGAAACTGCAAACACCAAGCTCCCGTAGACACCAGGATCAGCTTTCCTGTGCGAATTTCAGTGCGGGCCCAGAACGAAAAAGCGACGGGGTACCAATGCGAGCGCCACCGCAAGAAGCACCCGCAAGAAGCCCAACCCTGAAAACCCGCGCGCGAGGTGCACCGGAGGGGGAACCTGATGGCCGCGGGAAGTCGCCGCGCAGCGCGGGGAGCAAAGAAACACTCAGGACACCCGGACGGAAACCAGATGGTCTCTTGATGCGCGCCCCCACTGTATATATAGAGTTCGGCTCCGTCTACTTCTCTCGCTCCGTGAGGGGCCCGCATCCGCGATCCGCTGCGCCGCACTCTCGGCCTCGCCCGCTCCACCGGCGGCGGGCCTGCGCAGCTGGCTAAGGGGAGGAAGAGGAGGAGGAGGAGGAGGAGGAGGAGGAGGACGAGGAGGAGGAGGACGAGGAGGGGGCGCCCGCTTGGTTCCTAATTCTCGCACGTCCGAGGCAACAGGAAGAGGACGACGAGGAGGCTCGAGGAGGAGGAGGAGGAGGAGGATGCGGAAGAGGAGGAAGAGGAGGGGGAGGGCTGAGCGGATAGGCGGCGCCCCTTGCTCACCGCGCAGAGGATCTGCGCCCTCACAGACAGGACGCCGCTTTCCAGCTGCGTGACCAGGAGTATGGCTCCGTCGTTGCCGTTGCCCTCGTAGTCGCGGGCTGTGAAGACACGGACGAGCATGCTTTCGTGCATCACGTCGAACCCGAAGCCGCCCTTCGACACCTGGTGGCTCCTTATGATCATGCCCAAGCCGTTCCGCTTGCAGAACTCGACGGTGAGGTTCCAACCGAACTTCAATGAGTTCTTCCCACGTGGGGACTGATGCAGACCAAATGTATGCTTCTCATCTGGGTCATCATCCTCCACAGGGTCCGACCAAAGCACGTGATGGATGAACTCGTCGGTGCCAACTCTCTGTGATGAGATGGGTTTCGAAATGCGCCTGAGGTCGTCCAACATCCAGTCGCCCTTCCCTATCCCACCGTGCACCGCCAGCACCTTCCCGCCAATCAGGCAACCCAAAGGTAATTGGTTGAAAGCCCCCTGCACGGAACGGAAGACCTTGTCTGCGTCGGTTCCGAAGCGTTGTTGGCAAGCTCCGTAGAAGCCATAATACAGATTCACATTCAAGTCCTCGTGGTTCCCCCGCACGAGCCACACGCTCCTCCGATATATAATCTTCAGCGCAAACATGAGCGCGCACACCTCGACCTGGTGGGCTCCTCGGTCGACGTAGTCACCGTTGAAAATGAAATCGCGACCGCAATCTGTATACGGCCAACCGTAAGTATTAAAGAATAGAATAATGTCCCGCAGCTGCCCGTGCGTATCACCGAATACCACGCACGGCACGGGGGCGTCAACAAGGCAGGCCTCGTTGGCCAATACTGCCTCAGCACTAGTGGCCAACTCTATCATGTCCTCGGCGGAAAGATCCGCCAGCTCCGCCCCGGCCCAATTGCGATCCACCTCGTCCTCGTCCTGCTCCTGCGCCACTCGCCTCCCCAGCAGCAGCACGTCCCTCAACACCCTCGCGGCCGCCGGGGAACTGGCGCCGAGCAGGACGGCCTCGCCGTCGAGGGAGCTGCACCGGTCCACCCTCGGCGCCCCGTCGCTGCCAAGGAGGGCCCGGCCGGACCACCGCGGGGCCCCGGTGGTCCAGTGCCGGTTGGGGCCCGGGTCGTGCTGGCCGCGCTGCCGCGCGGGGCGCCAGCGGCGCTCGTGGAGCTGCACGCCCAGCTCCATGCCCGCGGCCTCCAGGTGGTCGCGCTGCCGTGCGTCGAAGATGTCGTACTCGTGCTCCACGAAGACCGACGGGCCTTCCCGCAGGCACACCACCGCCTCGCACTCGGGGCAGTGCCAGTGGGGCTGGGTGGCGGGCACCTCCGCCGTGCTGCGGGCGCAGCGGGCAGGCGGGCCGCCTGAGGACAGACCCTGCTCCACCCTCCCCCCTCTCACCGCTGTCTCCTGAGGAGGCCTCCTGGAGGCCTCCTGGAGGCCCCTTGGGGGCCTGCTTCGGGTCCTCGTGGCGGTCTCGTTGGAGGCCTTTTAAGTAGCCTCCTGGAGCCTCTTCCAGCCTCTTGGAGCCACGTGCGAGCCTTTGTGGAACTCTTGGGGGCCTGTTGGAGCCGCTTGGGCCCTTCATGGGCGTTCTTGGAACCCTCGTGGGGCGCTGTTGGGCCATCTTGGAGGTATTTTGGGCCGCCTTCGGGCCCTATTAGGGGGCCTCGTCTCGCGGCGATCTTTTGGGCCTCGTCTTGGATTGTGTAAGCCAGCAAGGCGAATACTGCAAAAACGCACGACTGTTGAACAAATGGAATGCGCAATGTTTGCCTCTTTGGGCCCTCTTGGAATCCTCTTGGAGCCCTCTCGGGGCGTCTTTGGGGGCCCTTGGGCCACCTTCAAGCCATCTTGGGCGTCTTGGAGCGCTCTTGGGCCGTCTCGAGGGCCTCTTTGACCATCTTGGAAAATGCGTTAAAACCCTTATGGGCATCTTGGAACGCTCTTGGACCATCTCGAGGGACTCATGGCCCGTCTGGACAAACCTTGCGAAGCCCCGGGAGGCCCTGGACCCCAATAATTACGGTTTGCAGGGGGGTCCCCATGTTTAGAGAGCCCCGATTCCTTCCCCAGTTAAATGTATATGTTTAGCTCGTGCATGCTTCCTCCTATTCCGTTTCACCTTCCACTTCGTCGACCTCCCCATCCCTGTCCCACCCTCCCCCTCCTCCTCCTCCTCCCTTCCTCCTCCCTCCCTTCCCTCCACGGCATGCCCTGGAACCAAGCTACGCTTCATATCGACGGCCAAGGACTGGAGAACGGCGACCTATCCCGTGCCAGGGCATCTGCGGCACCCATGCGGAAGAAGAAGAGGAGGCCATCTACACATAAAAAGAAGACGAGTAAGAAGAACAATCAGAAGAACAAGAAGAAACAGTTCGGCAAGGATGCAGAAGCTCTGGAGGCCTTTGCCACTGGAGGGCCCGGATCAAGCCAGGTGGACGTGGCAGGGCACGGCACCAGGTCGACATGCACCAGATGAGGCGAGGCAGTGGAGGACAGCAGGCATCAGATCTACGGCTGCAAGTGCAGCGACGACATCCAGCATCTCTGGATACTCCAGATTTCGTAACAAGTGGCACGCGTGCCCTGGCTCTTGCACAAAGGTGTCCGAGGCTCAGGGGGGCTGCCCTGGGAAGCCTGGGCGGGGGGGGGCAGAGGGGGGGGGCAGGGGGACGAACGACACGACACGACACGAAAATAAAAGTAGGGGGGCTGCCCTGGGCCCGGGGGGGGGGGGGGGCAGGGGGACGAACGACACGACACGACACGAAAATAAAGGTGTCCGAGGCCCAGGGGGGCTGCCCTGGGGAGCCTGGGCGGGGCGGGGCAGGGGGGAGGGCAGGGGGACGAACGACACGACACGACACGAAAATAAAGGTGTCCGAGGCCCAGGGGGGCTGCCCTGGGGAGCCTGGGCGGGGCGGGGCAGGGGGGAGGGCAGGGGGACGAACGACACGACACGACACGAAAATAATGATGTCCGAGCTCTAGAGCACAGCTGTGCAAGAGAATAAAGGGTTCCGTGGCCCAGGGGGGCTGCCCTGGGAAGCCTGGACGGGGGGCAGGGGGGGGTCAGGGCCAGGGGGACGAACGACACGAACGACACGACCACGACTAAAATACAGAGCTCCGTGGCCCAGGGGGCTGCCCTGGAAAGCGTGGGCGGAGGGGGGCTCCCAAGAGCTTTCACGGGGGGGGGGTCCCAAGGCCTTCAAGGAAAATAAAGGGTTCCGTGGCCCAGGGAGGCTGCCCTGGGAAACGTGGACGGAGGGGGGCAGGGGGAGGGCTGCCCTGGGAAGCTTGGACGGGGGGCAGGGGGTGGTGAGGGCCAGGGCCAGGGGGGCGAACGACACGAACGACGAACGACACGAAAATAAAAGGTTCCGTGGCCCAGTGGGGCTGCCCTGGGAAGCCTGGACGGGCTGCTCTGGGAAGGCTGGACTGGATGGGAGGCAGGGGGGGGTGCGGGCCAGGGCCAGGGGGACGACCAGGGCCAGGGGGACGAACGACACGAACGACGAACGACACGAAAATAAAGGGTTCCGTGGCCTAGGGGGGCTGCCCTGGGAAGCCTGGACGGGCTGCCCTGGGATGCCTGGACGCGGGGCAGGGGGGGGTGAGGGCCAGGGCCAGGGGGCGACCAGGGCCAGGGGGACGAACGACACGAACGACGAACGACACGAAAATAAAGGGTTCCGTGGCCCAGGGGGGCTGCCCTGGGAAGCCTGGACGGGCTGCCCTGGGGGACGAACGACACGAACGACGAACGACACGAAAATAAAAGGTTCCGTTGCCCAGGGGGGCTGCCCTGGGAAGCCTGGACGGGCTGCTCTGGGAAGGCTGGACTGGATGGGAGGCAGGGGGGGGTGAGGGCCAGGGCCAGGGGGACGACCAGGGCCAGGGGGGCGAACGACACGAACGACGAACGACACGAAAATAAAGGGTTCCGTGGCCCAGGGAGGGCTGCCCTGGGAAGCCTGGACGGACTGCCCTGGGATGCCTGGACGGGGGGCAGGGGGGGGTGAGGGCCAGGGCCAGGGGACGACCAGGGCCAGGGGGACGAACGACACGAACGACGAACGACACTAAAATAAAGGGTTCCGTGGCCCAGGGGGGCTGCTCTGGGAAGCCTGGACGGGCTGCCCTGGGATGCCTGGACGGAGGGCAGGGGGGGGTGAGGGCCAGGGCCAGGGGGACGAGCAGGACACGAAAGTGTTCCGTGGCCCAGGGGGGGGGGGTGAGGGCCAGGGCCAGGGGACGACCAGGACACGAAAATAAAGATGTCCGAGCTCTAGAGCACAGCTGTGCAAGAGAATAAAAGGGAGGGGGTCTCAACCCTCCCAGACGAGAAGTTTTAGACCCCCCCCGTGGGAGAACCCTCCAAAACATTGTCCCCAGACCCCCCCAGGCCCTCCAAGATAGCATGGAAGAGACCCCCCCCGAAACGAGATCCCCCTCCCTTCATCACGAAATCCGGAGTAAAAGTCACCACAGATCTCCCCGCCAGGGCCAAAAGAAGCATAGACGAAGACCCGAAACTCGAACCCCTCTGGCTCAGAGGCATTGTGCCAGGACGCCTCAATCAAGTACCGAAGCCAATGCCATGGGACGGATACGACTACGTCTACTTCTACAACCCCAATGTGCAAGGCGGAGGCGACCTACCAATAGTGAGGAGCTGGGCATCACAGAGGTAAGCAGACTCATCCCGAGTGTGGCTTTCCTGAACGACTCAGCGAACTCCCTGGACACGAGAATTGCAAGAACTGGGTGGGGATGCGCGTTTACGAAAAAAATACCAACGGATTCATCAAGCTCTACCGCATGGTTCCCAGAAGGCAGACGGTTCCCTGCTCGGAGATCGCAGCCTTGGTTTTCTTATTTGCGGTGACGGAGGGCCCTATTACCAGATAGACGGCTGCGCAGATCGTGCTCGATGTGTACGAGCCGGCGGCATAATTCGCGGTGGTGGACACCAATTGCGCAAGCACTTGGATCTCGATCTGGAGGCAGTAACCAAGTGGAGCTACGGCAATGCTGTTAACACTTGGACGAATACATCCAGGACGTACTATTTCAAGATCTCAATGTCTCTGTTGCAATGGAGTGGCAGATGAATTGGCGAAGTCAGGCTTGGCCAAAGCTATGAATATCATCTCACCGCAGGTTAACGATTTCAGCAAATGGGAAGTGCTGGCAACGAAGGTACACATTCGGGCCGCGGCGATCATGAACAACATCGTCGCTAATATGAAAGACTAACCCGTGTTGAGGACCAGAGAGAAACGGAAGCCCCTGGACACCAACATGTAGGTTCTCATGGATAGGCAGAGCGGCCACAGCCTGAGGCAGCGCGAAGGCGATCGCCATGCATGGTATTGCATCAGGTGCAACTGTTCGCCTGGAGGAGGAAACCGACTTAGGAGGCTGAAGCACACCCGATCAGCTGGTTTGGAATGCAAGCCTGCGTGCAGCACGCCGCTCGAGCTGCCTCAGGCGATGCAGGCGTCCATCAAGATCCGCGGCCAGAGCGTCGAGCCCAGCCACATCTGCGTACCGATCAACGGACAGCTGTGGTGCCTGGCATGTGGCAGATGGGGACACATTTCACCTCAAGGTGATGGTCGTCTCAACAAGCTGGTGGTGCAGTGTCCTGGATGTACGGCGAGGAGTCCAGCGAGCATCGTGCGCAGGCTCGAACGTGGTGGGGCTCCAAAACCAGGAACTACGACGGCGCGGCCTTCGGGTAAGCCCTTAAGGCCCGTCGGCGCAGGTGAGGCGGAACCGCCGCAAGAGGTATGGCTCTCCTTCCTGAGCTGCGCCGCCGTCTTTCTCTTACAAAGTCTCCGCTGTTGCCTTGCTAGTCTGCCCGCGCACGCTTCGTGCGCTGGCCAGACTCCAGCTGGTGCCGTTCCGCCTTTACTTCCGTCTACTCCATCTTCTACTCGCCATCGGATCTGGAGAGTTCTGCGGTGGACGGGAGGGGGGAGCGGGGCAAGGAGGGGGGGCAGAGTTCCGCTTGTTTTTGTTGCTGGCTCGATGGAGCTACTGACGGCAGACACGTTCCGCATGCCAAGACGGTCTCAAGCCTTCCAGAACCCCTCCGCACGTGGAACGATGCCCGTGGTCTGGAACGTAACTGACATGTTGGAGCCCTCTCGTGGCATGCTGGGGCCTCTCGGTCCCCCATGGGCTGTTAGATTCCAAAACCAAAGGCTTCCGTTCCGCCTCGCTTGGGTCGGGCATGTCCCCCTACCGGCGGATGTTGAACGAAACATCAAGAATAGTAGCAAAAACATGCTCCGAACTGATCCACAAAACATCGAATCATCCTCCCCGGATTTTTTTGTTTTACTAC